AAAATTTCATTACCATATCCATAATACATAAATAAAAGCTACAATGACTAATACATTTTTATTTAAACATCATCATTAAGGTATACCACAATAATGCGTTTCGAAGTGAGAATTGAGCTTCTTTGTCATTGATTTGTCTATATTTTAATATATTAATTAGTTTAGTATCTATGAATTTTATAATATAAATGTATGTTACAATAAAACTCTATTATATAATTTTGTTTAGGTATAATAGGAGAATGTATCAAAGTTGAGGAGTAATTTGTAAATATAAAAGCTTTGCTTCAAAAAATATAGGAATGAATAGTGTTGCTCTCACTCGATAAAATATCAATATTATCGAATTTTGGTGTTCGCATTAACTAATTCGAGAAACAGTATGAGCAATATAACAAGATTGAGCGAAGCATCAAGTTCCCGTGCAAGAAGAAGAGTGTTTGGTGTGCCAACGAGATGTTGGTGCGGGGAAGGAGTCATATCACTGATTTCCAACTCTGATCCTAATCATTATCGTAGATTCTATTCAAGATAAAAGCAAAAAGTTTACCTTCAAGGTTGCAGCATAAGCCGTTAAAGGATTGTCGGAAACATTTTGTTGTCAAGAGGAGGAAAAGACGAAGACATAGGTGAGTATGACATTAACTTGTAGTATTGCATTTTATACAAATGCAAGTATTGTATAATGTAAGAAAAGACAATAAAAACCAATGTTTGATGTTAAAGGGATTTCTGGCTATTCCTCGTAGTGCTTAGCGCCCTAATAGTCGTTAAACTTGTAATGAACCAACCAACACTTCATTACAATTACAATGTAACATTGATAACTGAACTGAATTTATTTTAGCAATTAGAATCTATAAAATCATTTTATGAGTGTATATGAAAAGATAACTCAACAAAAGGCACATGTTCCAATAACCGCTTAGGAAATAAAATCTTTACTGTTTGCTTTATTAGAATAGTGCCAAATAAAGATTCTTTTCTGATTGGCGAATATAAATTGACAATAACCGATGTTACCAGCCTCCCACAAATTGTTTCCTCTCACACAGAATTACAAATCTAAATCTACTCTAACCCAACATGTCTGTCTCAATGCTTGATATCTCTGACGACTCATTTGCAAAAATAGGTAAACTCGTCGCTGATGATCGTTGGTTAATTGTTAGGTCCAATATTGAAAGCTGTTTGATACTAGGATTTTTCTATCAATTATCCTAGAGTACTATCATGTCATTGCAGTACAATAGGTATCAATCCAATCAGGTGTGATGCTAGCAATCAAGATATATCAGAAATGATTAAGTCAAGCAAGCATAAATGATTTTTGGTTTTCAGTGATCCTAAGCAAACATGTTAAACATGCGATAAATGTAAGGCTGTAAAACATAGACTACCATGCATAAACTAAAACGTAACGATTACTGATACTGGCAAGAAAACAAAGCAGACCAAGTAAATAACAAGAGAATTAAACAGAAAACACAAATGGATAGAAGATCCCGAGGATGCGGTTATTGATGTAGGTGAAGTATGCTAATCTACTTCGAGTGTTTATCAAACTGCAAACATTCTAATCCCTAGACAATGAACTTCTAATACTAGTCAATCCAATCTCTTGGCAGAAACTATCAAGTTTACAACACTTCCTAATCTCAATTCTCATTGATGAAACATGCGGTAAACAGGCATAAAGAAACAGCTCATTAATGTCAATAAACATCTTAGACAACCAATCTCTTGGGCTAAGCATGTAAATCTCTGGCACTAGTTGGTTCAGACATTTCATCATTTACCTTTCGGGTATGAAATGTCTATGACCTAGTTCCAATTGATCAGAGAAGAACTAGCTAATAAAACTCTAGTCCAGAAGGGAAATAAAACGAATCTAACATAAACACTCTAGCAAACTAACATCCTCCACCTAATCTATCCCATCCTCAAGAACCCTAACACTACTCAGACGCAGAAATCATGTTCAACATCATGAAACAAGAATCGTTCAAAACATGCATAATAATAAAGGTGACAGGAAGAGTAACAACTATGATTCAAGAACTAACTGCAAAATATCAATGACTCAAAAGAAATCACGATTACAATTCTCAGGATCGTTTGGTGGCTAACAACAAAAACCTAATAATAAACTCCATCCCTTGGGCAATCCAAATGAAGCCTATTTATAACAATGTTTGGGAAAACCTTAAAACATAAAACGACAACGTAAAAGCGGTTCAAAGGTTGTTTTGACTAAGTTGGTCGAGTGAGCATCTTCTCTGCTTTGCTCGATCGTGTCACTCGAGTGAGTGTGTTGAGTGACCTGTAAAACCATCAGCTACTTCTTTGCTTTGCTCGATCATGTCACTCGAGTGAGTGCATCGAGTGACAGGTAGTTCTGCTTCGCTTCCCTTCTGCTCGATCTGCCACTCGATCGTATACATCTGCTGCTCACTCGATCGTCGATGTAACTGCAACGCATCCTTGCTTCTCACTCGATCGTCCCACTCGATCGTTTGCATGTCGAGTAACGCTTGTTCCTCTGCTTCGCTCTGCATGTCTCCTAAGTACCTGAAACAGTCCAAATATGCATAATGTATGCAAGATATGCATGATATGCATAAAACCTACCTATGTATGTAAAACATGCAGAAAGGGATCAATATGATGCGAATCAACAAGTGAATGATGCTGAAAAGATGATGAATGCATGCTCAAAAAACGATGAAATACAG